ATTTTTTTACCTTACGAACACAAAACATTTTTGTTAACAAATAGGAAAAAAGAAAGTAAATAAGTTAATGAAGTATGCACTTAAAAAATAAAACAACTTATTCCCACAATCAAAAATTATTTATTAAATTAAAAACATAACTCTAATTCCCATTCTGTATCACAGCTTTTTGTTGCTGCTTGGTTCAAATTATCTGTTGTCATCAATTTAAACAATATTGGGTGAAGTGGGGTAAGTGTATGCACGGGGCAAGTGGACGCGTTGACTATAAATAGGCCATAAATGGGGAAAAAAATTTTTAATTCATCTTTTTATATGATTTGAAATGTGATCTTTCAGATTCTGAAGTCAGAAATCAGCATTTATAATTATTTATACATGAAAATTAAGTTTTAAAACACCTTTGCATTTCTACTTACTACGAAAGTACCGCCTTCAAATTTTGAAAAATCATATAAAATCAAAAAATAGAAATAGAAATTTGAAAATTGGTACACTGATACAGTTTTGTAAGAGGAATCCAAAAATGTGGTTTATGTGCTTCTAAAATGTATTGTTAAAAAAAATAGGGGGGGCGTACACTTTCCCCGGGCTAAACAGTGGTTGGGGTAAGTGTACTTCCAGCCCCGGGGTAAGTGTACATAGCCCTAAATGCAATGACAAAAAATGCATTAGATGACATCGGGCCTGTCGTTAGGTTTATAAGAAAAAAATGTGACAACATGTTTTACTGGCCTAAAAAAGAAGACTGTTCAGTCATTCCTGAACAGGATGTGCTCAAAATGGTACCAGAACCTATACCAGGCAGAAGGGGGGAGTTAATATTTGACGCTTCTCTCTTTTCTGTCAACGTTCAATAAAAAAAATTAAAAAAAACTAGCTGTAAATATGTAAATAATAAGTATTTTCGAAGCAAGTGAACAGTTCCTTAAATATAGTGTTAGTGAAATAGTCATGTGGCCTAATATGAACTGCTTAAGAATTATTTGGCGGAATTTAAAAAAAGTCATTTACAGTGCAGAATTCACCTCCAGGAAAAAATTGTATACGCATATTTAAAATTGTGTTTTTAGATTCTAACTAGCCTACCATTATTTGTGAGATATTAAATAAGTTTTTTACAGCATTTAATTCATGTAAAATAATTTATTAACACACTAATAATAATAATTGTAAATGTACCAATTAGCCCTTTCACGAAAATTGTATGCGGAGTTCCACAACAAAGTTCATAACTCCTGAACAGTTGGAGCTAATTTAACAAATAAAAAACCATTTTAATCAGCAGATTCTAAGCTATGCTCCACTTGCCCCAGATTCCACCTAATGTGAGTTAATAAAAGTATAAGGGGGGTGCGTACACTTACCCCGATTTCAGGGGCAAGTGTACGCACAGGACATCAGTTTATAAAAAAATTTATATAAAAAAAAGTTTAATAATTTACAATTTAAAAAAAATACCACATACACAAAACATTCCAAGCTTTCTGCTCACCAAGTTTCATTAAGATATCTGAAATACAATTGAAGTTATTGTAAGTTAAAGTGCAACTAGTCGTTTTGGCGCGTACACAGGGGTGCCCAGAGGGGGGGTACTGTGGCGCAAAACAGGAATTTTTTTGGGGGGGGGACTTTTTTAAGGGATTTTGGGGGGGATATTTAGTTTTTTTGCTAGCTGTCATAATGGCTGTATAATTTTGTACAAGCAGTCCGAAAAAGTGTTTCTCACTAAAAGTAGCTCACTATCAACACCAACAACATTTTGCCGTTCGTAATTAAGATTGCTTCTAAGAATGGTAAAGCACCTTATCAGACAATCCTTAACATGCCAGTGTCGAACTTTACATGCTACATATGTTTTGTTGGTTCTTTAACTCCACCATAGTCAGGATTTACAAAAGATCCCCTTCTGGAGGAGTCGTCAGAATACGTTACAAACATTTAACACAAAACACGAAACGATTACAGAATACAGATAAGCCTATCAATTCACGCGTGTACATTGCCGTCGGCAGGACTCGAAGTAAACTGAATCGGGTTCAGGTTATGACGGACGGACGTGGTCTCTGGATTGTCGTCTGCGTTTTCAACAGCTGATATTGGACTATTGTAGTGACTGAGAAGAGTATTGAAAATATAATGGGTTTCATAATTAATTGAGTGTTTTCACTCATAAAATTTTGTGCTGTCCTCAATTTTATGTATTCATATATTTCAAACTCCTCAAAGTATTTAATAAATTTCCTTTCGTGCAGTACTGTGGAATTTCGAGACCATCATTTATATCCAGCATATAAATTGGTTATTATTGTCAATAGTTTTAAATGGAAAACTCAATTGTGAATCCCATTATATTTTCAACATACTTTCCTCCGTCACTACAATAATTAGTCCAATATCAGCTTTTGATAACGCAGACGACAAACCAGAGACCACGTCTTTCCGTCATAACCTGATTCAGTTTACTTCCAGTCCTGCCCGCGGCAATATACACGTGTGAATTGATAGGCCTATCTGTTATCGTTTCGTGTTTTGTGTAAAAACGGATTGTCTGACAAGATGCGTTTCTACCATTAATAGTCATAAAAGGCAATCCTGGGGCTATAAAAATGAATTATAAGATTACTTCGTCACAAAAACCTTTTGTTCTGGTGGCATGGTATTTTGCCTGGCGATTTTTGTAGAAGGCAGCCTGGAAGTGGCGAGCAACAAGTCTGACTTATTTCGTGACTCTGCCTGTAATTTTGAAACAATTAAGATACTTTTTGCCAAAGTATTATTAATACACTTAAAGCTTTTTGAATTCTTAAGCCCTCTAAACATTAATGCCACTGAGCACATGTTGGCTGACAATACAAATTCGGAATTTTGTAAATTGATAAATTTCTAATTCAACCATTAGTTAGATAAGTATCGTTAAATGACGTTTCCTATTAAACATTTAATTTTGATTCTCAATCAGCAAGTTTGTTTTTTGTACCTACCTCAAGTTTACTAAATACTCGTTTTATGAGGTAAAGGGAAAATTGTCAGATAAATTGGTGGGGGGAGGGTAGGTTTAAATAGACGACAACATAAATTGGGGGGACTACTCCTTTGGCTTGGGGGGGGGGGGGATTGCGCCTCTGGGTTTAGGGGGGATGGGCACCTCTGCGCGTACACTTACCCCACTTCACCCCTTAATAGTGCTGCATCCTGTTGTTAAACCTCATAACCTTTTAATGCTATTGAACATCAAAGGATCAAATTATTTAGTTGAAACAGCTCTGTTAAGATTCTTTTATTCCATTTAAATATGAGTACAGTAGAACCCCTCATATCCGGCCTTGGTTTTACCGGTCCTCTGTTTATCCGGCCCCTTCCAGGAAGCCAATATCAAAATGTTTTCTCACAGCTTACAGACGTTTAGATGCACGCACTTGTCTTTGTGACTGCTCAAGTCATCAAATAAATTGTTCTCACTATTTATCTGTTTGTTTATAATTTTTTTGCTGTGTCACTATACTAAGTTGAGCTAGTAGGCCTAACCTTTGATCAGTTGGTTGATTATTTCCAAAGTAGGGTTAGTACAGTACAGTATATTATTATTTTTTGTATTTTACAAAATGGATAAAAATGTTGAGTTTAAATCAAATTCTGTGGTTGAAATGCATGTACTATTTAATTCTTAATGATTTTCAAGTCCAATTTATAGTCATTTTCAACTTCATTAATAGTTTTTGTTGCCTGGAATCATAATATTTGTACGTTCTTCATTACTTAACGATTTTAACCTACAAATATTTTTTTTTCTTTTTACAAACATGTTTATTTTTTTTTTTATAATCCCAGAACAGACTGGAATGATACTTTTCACTGCATATATTGATTACCTATTGTTATAACTGGTATGAATTATCATTTTCATTGTAGGTTGGTTTATCCGGCCAAATCGTTATCCAGCCAGGGGCTTGGTCCCGTGGTGGCCGGTTATGAGGGGTTCTACTGTACTTATAAGGTTAACATGGGAAACTGCAGAGCCACTGGGGCGGAGCCCATTTGACGGATCTGCACCTAACTTCACACAAACCTTTTCCATTTACCTTTACCTTTACAATTTTACACCCTCAGTACTAAGTTTCATGGCAATCGGTCCAACGGTGTCCGAGCTCATAAAGTTAAAAAAATATATATATATATATGTATATACAAACTTCCTCTTTTATAAATATTGATATATGTAAATTTATTTATTTATTTATTTATATGTCCATTAGCCCGATAACTCGAGCAAAAGTCATCTGATTTTGATTAAATTTGTTACAAACGTGTGTGAAGTTTCTTGAGTTCAGCAAAGGCAATTTGCACTCGTGTTACACGTTACATTTTTCCTACAGTTACTATAAAGCATAGAAATAATTAGTCTTTCAAACCCTATACAACACATTTTTAGGTTAGGTTAAATCCAAGCATTTAACAAAATGAGAAATATGCATCAGCTGATAGTAACTTAGTAGTGGTATCTTTAAGTGCTGCCAACTTATTTTCAAGCGTCACGTAATACGTGCCTAATAAAAGTAAACTGTTTTTGTGTTGTTTGGAATAATGTTACACTTGACTGGGCCGGGGCCCCCTTCTGAGTTTCAAGGATTAATGGTACCAATGGGTACTATAAAATACAAATAAAAAACATTGCACTTGTGATGAAAAAACCAAAATATTTTATTTGTATCAACAACTGACAAAGTAATCTCATGGTTAAATTGGATTTAAGATTCCTAGCCTACATAAGTTATACTCTGTGGATTTTAGTTTTTTTATTATCTAAACCAACTCATTGGCTATTATATCTAACAATCAATTTTCAAAAATTATTCTTAGAAAAATCCATTTTGAGCAGTATTAGCTTTTAAGCATTATGTTATAAATTGAGATGGGGACGCAACAGACATATTTTATCCCAAATACAACTTAAGAACTAATAACCGTACATTAAACCGTATAACAAATTGTGGACTCACCCATCGTCAGAGAGGTTGTTGAGATCCACATCGTCCCATTTGGATGGCGATCCACCCGGGGTAGCCATAAAGAATCTTGATCACTCAAATCTCTAAAATGCAAATAAAACATATTACAACATAGAGCAGAGAGGTTTAATACAGCAACAGTGTGATTTGAAAGGCCTGATTGTGAAAACAAAAGGGAGTTGACCCTTTGAACCACAGGAATTATTATTCTGATTTCATGTAATTATTTTACATCCATAAGTTACCATGAACGCTAAAAATCTAGCGCCAATATATTAACAGTTTTTTATTGACAACATTACTATTGGATACTATGTAGATATACTTACAGTGTGATTAAAAAGTACCGAAATGGTGTAATATATTTTTACTGTTATAGATAAAGTAGGTAATGAGACTTGGTATCAATAATAACTATAAATGTCTATTTTTTTAAGCTATTAATTATATATATATTTTTTTATCCCATGAGGGAGGTGGCCCACAAGGAGTCAGACAAAATTCTTAAATAGCAGCATAGGTCGAGTTTGGCATCAAATTAAAGGTCTTAGTTGGTAAAACACATGACCGCAAACCGGACAACCGAGACAGCCCCAAGTCAAACGGACAACATCCCCCTTTAAGGGATAAAAAAATGATAGTAGCTTAAAAGAGTACACATTTATGGTCATTATTGATGTATACCAAATCTCATTAACATTATATATAAAGGTAAAAAATATAGGCTATTACACCGTTCCAGGACTTTTCAATCACACTGTATATGGACCATCTGTCGCCAATTTTTATTAAGAAAGAACAAAGTTGTGTGTGTGTCACAGAAAGCGCTGGTACCTTTTTGTTGCTGACATAGAGAATGGGTTATAACAGTTGCTATAGCTCATGAGTTGTTCGATCAGTTTGACTTAGAGAAAAAGTTTACGGAAAGTAAATAAAAGATACGTCTTATAACACTTCAAACATATATTTACGCTTACTGTTACTCACAAGACGGTAAATATACAAAAAAGATGGTAAGTGGTGATCGATTTCGATTGGACACTCCAATCATCATCAGACCCAATAAGCGAATTTATTGGGTATTCGCTTATTGGGTTACCAACTTACCATCTTTTTTGTATATTTACCGTCTTGTGAGTAACAGTATAAGCGTAAATAATATGTTTTAAGTGTTATGAGAAGTATCTTTTATTTACTTTCCGTAAAATTAATAACACGTACAATGCTGTAAAGAAGTTATTTAGAAAAAGTTTGTTTAATTGACAGAAATCAGTAAATTACATAATTTCGCTGGCTCTCATCAACTATGACCATTTTGATAAAAAACCTGGAAAAAACTTTAATGTGGGGATTGAATGTGTAGTTGTATCAATAGTCAAAGTTGACAGATATAGCCTACAATAGACAGTGACACATAGCCCACAGTTGGACAAAAAGTTTTGAAACTGCCAACAAATCCAATAAATCATCGGACAATTCAATATTATTTTTAGACAGGGACTTACACTTGGTAAGTGCGTATTTAAAAGCTAAATATAACACAGGATGAGTAAAGAATGGAGTAAGATGACCTAGGTAGTTTGCTTTAGCCACTGGCTAAGACCAGCTGTTTACCTAAACCACGTCTTGTCAAGCCCAATGATCAAGTGCAGCTACGGACTAGAACAGTTTTAAACCTACTACATATTTTGTAGTTTAACCACAGTTAAAATTGAGTTCTATAGGCCTAGCTTAGGCCTAAAGAGAAATTGAGTTTCTAAGTGATAAAGATCAAATAAACATGTGAAACAGTTAGAAAAGGTCATTATTTTAAGACAAGATTTTTTTTAATTAAAAATTACGATCAAAGGTCAACATGAACACAACTAGATTATGAATAAGCAAAAGTTTTAAGTGGTAATTATATTAAAATCACGGATAACTTCTGAACCGACCAGACCAACAAACAACCTAGATAACCTCTTTGATCCTACAAGTTGTTAGGTTTAAAAGTAACTAAATTTTAAGGGCCTAATCATAGTAAAAATATTTAAGTAAATTATGAAATCCGCCAAAATTACTGTTTAACAATATGTAGCTCAATGGAACATTGTCTCCAAATGGTGGTGTCAAATTAATTCGAAGATCTTAAAACAGATGATCACAAGAAAGACTTGTTGCAGAACTGACATTCCTGGAAGACTATGACAAAAAGTGAAAACCAAGTTTTAAGCCATTTTTAAAGTTAATGCACAACTGCTCACTTGGCCTTCACTCGTTACCTAGCTTTGCCATAACAATCCCAAACTTGGAAATAAATTTCAATTTCATGGTGGATAAGCCTCTGGATCGAAAATTGCAATATAAAAATGGTTTATTTTACCTTTTTGCGTCAAACGATCCATGTGCAGTTAGTGCAACTACAGCTGTTTCATACCACTAGGGTACATCTTCAGGTTGTTGGTAGAACGTTAGATAAAACAGCATTCATTCATAGATGAACTTGTCAAAATAAATATGTCCCCAACAATGATCAGAGGAAACATGATTATGTACTCATGTACGGTACTCATTTGGAGGGTACTCACCAGAGTCATGACGCAACATCCACCGGCGCCTGTCTCGTGTGTTCGTCACTTGGCCAAGTTCGTAAATTTGTGTATTTAAATGTTTTTTGTGTATCTCGTGTATATAGACATATTTATTTCGACAAGTTCATCTATGAATGAATGCTGTTTTATTTAACGTTCTACCAACAACCTGAAGATGTACCCTAGTGGTATGAAACAGCTGTAGTTGCACTAACTGCACACGGATCGTTTGACGCAATTAGGTAAAATAAACCATTTTTATGGGCTAATAAATTTCAGTTGGTGTGTATATTTTTGTACGTACATACAAAAATCTGATCAAAGCGCTCACCTCACAAAGGGTGGGACAGTGTAATGACAGCACTCATTTTAACATTCCATTGCAGACAAAGTAGGCAGACTAAAAATATCATAGGTACTCAATTTAACATTTTTAACTTAATGTAGCTGGAATGTACTGGATGTAGGAACGCTCTGGCACTAAGATGGCAGTTTGAATTCAACTTCAACAATGAAATCCTGCTTATCTCCAAGAATATGTTACTTCCCCTAACATTAACAAGCGGGTATGTTTGATATTCAGGTAGGCTGTATCATGATGCTGGAGAAGACCTGCTGGTTATTTTTTTGGATGCCTGATTCACCTAAAACGTTCTAAAAGATGTTTTTAAACTGTTAAGAAGTGTAAGTTATTTTGGGTAGGTGTGGGTTGTAAATGTTTACCGTGGGTCTTACTATTTAAAGTTTTTATTGTTGCACTTTGATACTAATTTTTTTAGCCTATAGTTTTATTGCAACTTAAGGTAATGATTGGACTTGTCCATGTTTGTGGTCTAAGAGGACTACCATATATGCTAGTTTGTTAAGTATGTTACCAAACCGATTGTATTATTGTTAACTTACTTTGGCCCAATAAAATGATTTTATTTCATTTGATGATAGAAACCACTGAAAGGCTTTTAAGTTCAGTATAATCTTGAATCAAATACCAGCCTAATGAAGGCTACCTTTTTATGGTAGACTAACTTACTGAACCTCTAATGGTAGGCCTAGGTCCTTTTAACCCCGATGTCAGTTTAGTGTTGGACATTTTGAATTTATACGAGAGAGCTTTGACGGAATCGGTGGATTCTTTTTCGGTGGTTTTTCCTCTGATCAGTCATTGGTAGGTAACATAGGCTATTGCTACTTTTATAAAAGAAGAGAAATGTTATAAGTTAAACATATGCAAAATGGAACAAAATAAAAATTTATTTTGGTTGTTTAGGTTGTGTAAGCACGCCTTTACGTTATATAAACTCATTAGGCTTAGCCTCTTAGATTTTTAGCATCAATTAGGACTACTAAGTTCCCTTATAGGCTAAATTAACTTATCCTAGGCCTAATTAAGTTTTGTATCTTGTGCTGGTAACTTAGGCTACTTACATATTTCATTATTAACAAATCTAAGTTAGGAACAATCTTGAGTGCTTTCCACAGACAATATGGGAGAATTATTTTTACCTTGTGGTTAGTTCACTAGTTATTTCATTTAATTCACTAGGTATTTTTGGTTTATGAGAAAGAGCAGAGAACAACCAAAAGATTTTAACAGAAGACTGCAACGACTAATTACTTAACCAAGTTGGCAAGTTCACATCACACAATCCTGAACCATAGCACAATCTTGAAAAAAACTTAACTTTTGACTGACTGACACTGACAAGTACACAACACACAACTAGGCCTAACTTAGTAAACAATGAAAACTAGGCTAAATCGAAAACTGACTGCTGAGCTGAAAGCTAAAAGGGAGCGATCAAGATCAACGGAATAATAAACTCAACTCAGCTGAGTATTAAGCATCATCACCAGCTGGTAACAACAAACAAAACACTAGGGACTGACATTACTGACAACGACAACAATCACAATCACTTTAGTTCAGACTTCTTGAAACACTGAGCTATAATTCTAACTGGAGGTAGCACTGAATGTCAAAGATGCGTGTCGCCAGCCGCCATGTTTGCGTGAGGTGGGTGTCCATAAGAAGCCATATTATTGATATAACTATTATTATACTTGGCTTAAAATACCTACTTTGTATGTTCGCCATTTCAAAGAAAATTATTAAAGTATTAAAAGTATTCAAGTATGACAAAAATACTCACTGCTATACCAACCTAGTTATAAGAAGCCATGTTATTGCTATGGTAAGAAAACTTACTGCTATACCAACCTAACAAAATCAGCGACTCGCTTTTGACAGACTTCTGCCATGGCAGTGCTACCTCCAGTTATAATTTTAGCTCAGTGTCTTGAAACGACAGGAGGAGGAGAGAGGAGGAGACAGAAACTGTCTCTGTGATAGTGATATAAAATGTCTAGAAGCATAATTTATATTAGTACTATATAAAATAAAAATACATGCAATTACACTCTTTCATTCTTTCCTCATTAAAATGAATATTACGTTAGGTAAGCATTTAGTTAGTAATACCAGTTGGTTTATCATAATTTTAAAAAATCTAAATGTTACTAATCTGAAAGTTTTGGAGGCACTTGATCCGTCGATCGGTTAGGGTTCACTTACTCTACGAATCATTGACACAATGAGCCTCCAAATATGTAATTCTTAAAACACATGGCTCACTTACTCTACAAATCATAGTCTATACGAGCTTCGTAAATAATATTGAAGGTTCACTTGCACTACAGGCTCGTATACTATACGAGCCGATCAAAAATATCAAATAAATGAAGAGGGTTCACTTACTCTACAGATCATTGTGCCTATGAGCCAAGCGTATGAATTCTTGAATAATTCAGGAATAAGCTCGTATAGTATACGAGCCAAAATACTGAATTTAAATAAATTACAGGAGTAGGCTCGTATACTATACGAGCCTATTTCATGATAACTATTACACAAATAGAAGACGGCTCACTTACTCTACAGTTCATTGGCACAATGATCTGTAGAGTAAGTGAACCCTCTACAAATATTAGAAGGCTCACTTACTCTACGGTTCATTTAGCTATTCGTCGCACGGTTTGCAGCACATCATTGCAGGCGTGTATGGTAAACCAATACCGCAGTTCTGCCGTTCTGCCTTACTTTTGCCGTTTACTAGTCTTGCAGCGTGAAAGAGAGCTTGTTATGTTAATGCATTGTTGAATTTTTAACTTGTGTACTCGTTGCTAGAAATCAAGCAATTATCAAGTACCGGTATTACAGGAGCTATTTTAAGAGTTATTACAGACTTAATTTTCAATTAATTAAAAAGACTCACGTAAAAGCTTATGCAACTAATGGAATTACTTACTGTGTTATGAACATTTCTATATAATTAAAGTTGTAAATATTTTAAAATTGTTTAGAAGATTGCCTTTTTAGTGTTTTCTACAAACGTGTCTCAACTTAAACACATAGCCGCATTAATGTTAATGTGCATGTGCATTTTCGCCAATGATAATGTACCAATGTCGACCGTAACAATGTCTAAACTTTACTTTTAAATGGATTTGTTGTTAAATTTTTTTATATTTATACATCATACATAATTTAAATGTTTTTACGTGACAAAATAAAGAAATATAACAAGCTACATTACATACAATATAATTTAGGCTTGAGCTAATGGAAAACTGTAGTTTTCGTATACTTGTCTTAACTTACAGATTCAATTACATCCTTTGTTTACCAAACAAGATATTTACATTTATTGAAAAAATAACACTTAGACAGATCAATAATTGTAGATTACGATGACAACTGCATTTACATAACAATCACTATACAAAGAAGTATGTTTTTGTGACAAAGAGGTCAAATAGAAATTTCTTTTAGAACTATATAATTTATAAAGACCGGCCTTTTACAGTAATATGGTTTACAGTACTTATTAATTGCGCAGTTGTTAAATGCCCTTATAAACATATGGAAATTAAAAATTTAAATTATTAAATCATTTTCTTTACAAACTCATGAACAATACTAAACGCTCGCTGACCCCTCATAGGAATGAAAAGTAAAGATGATCGCAAGATCTCAAGTTCAAGTCACGTTCTCATGGGCAAAGACCTGGCTGAGAACAAGCCAGGCATAGATTGAATTTCGATTTTAATGATTAAAGTGTAAAAAAATTGGCCTGATCTGTAGTTTTGCAAAGTTTTTTTTTTAAATTTTTGAAATCTTTATTAGTTTGGGCAGGATTATTCATCAAAGTTTAACATAAGATTAACATGGAGGAATCTATATATTAATTTGAAACTGTTTTTCTTTGTCATAGCTATTTTGAGAGAACGGCTGGGCGTAGAAACTCGGTAGGGGTGTCTAAAGAAAGGTCTTGGTCTGTAGATGAGCCATCAAAAGAGAAACGTGGTAAATTCCCTAGGGGCTCTGCCCCAGTGGCCTTTAAAGTCCCATCCCATGTTATTCTTATGGAGGAAAACGGGGGGTTTGTCACAGCTAATTTGAGAGAAAGGCTGGGTGTAGAAACTTGGTAGGGGTGTCTAAGGAAAGGTATTGGTCTGTAGGTGAGCCCTCAAAAGAGAAACGAGGTAAATTTCCTTGGGACTCTGCCCCAGAGGCCTTTAAAGTTCACTCAGCAATTTTGTTTACATTACGACCACATGGATAATTTTATACTACTTTTAATGAACCAGCTGTTAATATTAAAATTGTATTCAAAAGTCTACTGAAACTGTCAAAATTAAATGTTTACATTATTAGTTATGATTTTAAATTGATTCTTCACTGCATGACAAGTTTTTTATAGTTTCAACAAAAGGATGAATTTATGATATGTTTTAAATGTTGTGTTAAAAAATATAATGCTTTATTGCTCTTAGAAAATTTTAAATTATGAAATACGTGTGACATATCAATTTTAAAGGAACATAATTATTCCTTATCGGGTTAGCTTATATATATTGTAAGGTTGGCACTTGCCTTTTTTGCCTACTTTCAATTACCATTTATTTTTGAATTCAAGAAAGAACACCAGAAATTCATTTATTAGTATAAAAGTTTTCGACAATCGGGTTAAAAATTGTGTCATAGATGAGTACGTTGAGGATGAGAGCTGTGTTCAAGTTTTGGAATAGACTAACTACTGAGTATGTTTCATCTATGGTTTTGGTGAAGTAGGTGAACTAATGTCATTTCAGGTATTAAAAAAAATGTGTACAGGGTTTTTACTTTGCTGTACACATGTAACAAACCTCACTACATACAAAGCATTCGGAAACACAACAGTGTCATCACATCTAATCGCATTTGCATAATTTGTTACCAAGGCTGGACTAGGTTATGGATTTGGTTTGATCAAATTTCTATGGTTCATTCTATCCACGAAATACATGCACAGCTTTATGTTATCGATCTGGCCAAGGCGAAACTATCCCATAAGTTAATGAATTATCAAGTAAGAACAGGATGACTAAATACATGGGTCGATGTGGCAAGAGAAGGAATTAAAATTGCTTGGATTGAAGTAAGAATCTTACTGCTTTCTAGAGAATCAGATATTTTTATCAAATACAAAAAAACTGATTTAATATGCTGATAAAATTCTGTATTTTAATGACCAAAGATGAAGATTTAATTATAAATCCGGATACAATCTGAATGATTTTCCAAAAGCAGATTGAATTAGTTGTTAGTAATAAATATTGACTCTTTCCGTAACATGATAGACTAATTATTAGAACTCATTCTCCCATATAGTGAAAGTGGCTTTAACACGAAACAAACTCATGAAAAAACAATTATAAGACTCCTAAAAAACCTTTTGGGCAACCTAAAGCCGATAAAAAGGTAGGAAATATTGTGTTAAACGAATTCATCAATCACGTTTTTTAGGGAACACAATCGTCATACTTATTATTATGTTTATCCTCCCTTCATTTAACCAAGATTTTAATGACCTCACTCTATCTATCCCAGTTAGCTGAATTTGCATAAAACCTCAAGATTAACCGTCGATTTCGACGGGGTTCTACTAGTCTAAATATTTAATTGGAAACTTTGTGTCCACTAATTCGAGAGAACGGCTGGGCGTAGAAACTTGGTAGAGGTGTCCAAATAAAGGTCTTGGTCTGTAGATGAGTTATCAGAAGAAAAACTAAGTTAATTCCCTTAGGGCTCTCTCCCAGAAGCCTTTAAAGATCCCTCCACAGATTTGTTTACATTTTGGTCATGTGGATAATACTTTTTAATGAAACAGCTGTTAATTTTTAAACTGTATTTTAAACAACACACATTTATTAGGAGTTACTGAACTGTCCAAAAGAAGTATTTGCAATGTTATTTTCTGTTTGTAATAGCTATTTACTTTACAAGTGTAGTAAGAGCGTTTTTACATCACGCAGGTGAAGGTTGTGCAACGAGCGGATTGAGTTGCATAATTTACCTAAGTGATGTATAAACACGCTAACGTACAAGATTTTACCTGACCCGACAATATACAGGAGGTTACGAACAATATTAATCATTATCCATTTCACTCATCTTCTATCAGTAACGTTCATTTACAAACAAAAGCTAGGTTAGGAAAATTCTTCAAAACATAACAATAAAATTCAAGAGCACAGCTGATTTCTAGCGTTGAACGTCGTTGGCTCCATAGAGGTATATTTTTTAAGTTAATCACTCAATGTTATTTAAATGGGTTTCATTACATCACTGAGTGAGTTTTTGATACTTTACATCACTCGAGAAGTAAGGAAGTTGTATACATCACGCTTTGGATAGGGAAGTTTAACATGGCGGGTTAGGTAAAATAAATTTTCTTCTGTATCATGTCATGTTTTTCAATATAACGTTTCATTACGAAATCAGTTAAAAATCCTTTTATCACAGTAACTCTTTCAATTATTTCTTATTGAACTATCTTATATCTATT